AGAGAGAGAGAGAGAGAGAGAGAGAGATGCTCTGTCTCTTCTTCGCAGGTATTTACACACCTGTAAAATTCTCTCTTCGCGTTTAGGTTAGGTTTACGTATTTTTCATCTGAATTTCATTCGCACAGGTTCGTACAGTGTGCAATAACAACCAACAGGCGTCGACACGAGCGAGAAATAATCGTAAAAATAGAAAAGCAAGTCATAAATGCAATAGAAATCGAAGAAACAGGACTGGATTGGAGAACGATCACGTAGCGGGCGATTCCAAGCTTCACTTGGTGTGTCGCGTTTCGAAATTTACGATTAAACGTAAGCGCATACGTAGAGCATCGTCATTTGCTTCGCGGAAGCAGTGGTCTCAATGCGATCATCTAATACGTACTGGAAATAGTGAAGTAAAGTCCAACGACTCTCATGGCTGCGGCTTTTTGGTAAAGCAGACATCGAAGGGCGAAGAAGAAACTACTGCCAATGCCTTTTTTCATTAATTGCGATTTAATTAATAATAGCGGAAAAAAGAAAAAAGAAAATCAACGAACACTTAAAGGAGACATGTGCAAGCACGTGTAAAAAAAGAGTCAATTGTTTTTCAGAGGAAGCAGCTCAAAACGCGAATTGAATTCAAGATTATAAGTGATATATTCAATTCAAGAGTATTGAAGCAAGTAATATAGAGTAATATAGAGTATTGAAGTAAGTAATATATTCAATTCAAGAGTATGTAATATATTCCGAAAGCAAATCTTGAACGAAAACATTTTATATAGGATAGTTTCTGACAAGATGGTTATGCCGAGAGAGAGAGAGAGAGAAGATGAAGCAGCGGTGACCAGATGGTCGTGCGGCAGCAATGTTTAAATCGATTGCACTGGCGTCGCATCGACTTTAGCACTTTTCCCCCGCAGTTTGTCTTCTTTCTTCCTTTTGATCGTTCGATTACAAGATACATCATCTCCTTTCTTAAAATGAGAATAATATTACCTTTCAGTTGCATTACCAACATTATCGTTCATACATTAACACACACACGTACAAGGCAATGCACACGTAGCAAGGCAAAGGCAAACTTTCTAAGAACATCAACAGAGCGATTGCAATATCGAACAGCCCCGAGTGAATCTCGATCGAGCGAATATACGTGTGTAGATAA